GTTATTTCGACTCAGTGAAGGAGAATACTTTTTTAACGTTTTTATTGTATTTAGATCAGAGCAGGAAATAATTAGTGACAAATCTAATGGCAAACTATTTCGTTTTTCTTCCAAACGCTCCTTTGATCCCACTGGAATTTGCGCTCATAAGTTCCTCTAAGCCTTGTTTGCGCTCAATATTCTTGACCATGCGACATCAATTTAAAGGCCGTGACCCTTTGTATTTGATTTGCTAATACACCTACAAGGAATCAATTCCACAGGGGATCAACTCGTAATTTGTTTAATCTTGCACACTCAAGTCTGTCACATGTCGCACCTTCAAAATTTAAAAGTTTTTTTTTTTAATTTTCCGAGTTCCACAAGACCAAAACAAGTTTATACGCAAAATCACTGACCGGTAGCTGTGCATTAGTTTGTGCCTTTTTTCAGGCAATCGCTCCCTGTAGTTTCCATTGAAATTGGTCCTGAATAAGCTCGCGTTTCGTTTAGTTGCACCGCCACACATTTGATTGGACGCTGTTGCATCCGTTCAAATAACCGACAATGATGACTCACTCGTTAATTAGGGCTTGGCACTTCAATACGATTCACTGATGCTGGATATGTACCAATTTGGTTTCATTATTATCGTTCGTCACTCAGTTTCACGGCTCAGAATAAACAATGAAGTTAGTTATTTATTCATCAAAACTAAGGATTTTGGAAATGTCAACATTTCCAAAATACGTAATCCTTCGTTCACTTGACTTTGAATCGGATGGAAAATTATTCAAAGACCACGACGGTTATGGGTTCCGCAGCTAAATAAAAAAATTGAATGACCTTACTGATGTTTCTTACGCACGGAGAGGTTGAAAGTGTGATATACAGAAAAGCTACGATGTTTGCTCCTACTTTGCCCAGAAGGACTTCAATGCAATAAAAGGAAAGCTCCACTGCTGTAAAATTAGGTTTGTATTGAAGTTATATGGCTATTATTGCAACAACTAACGTCACTTCGCGTTGTGAGGAAAGGTGAAATGCACCCACAAAGGATGTGAATAAACTTTCGGGAACAGCGTGAATACAACGACGGAGACACAGTCCACGTTGATGAAGCAGCACTGAATCCTACTGGAACACTGTCGTGCCTGAACTGTCGAACAAAAACTGCCAAGGTAAGAGTATAACTGCTCATGCGCTGCGATGCAATGGGCGAAAAATTGATGTCACTAAAACTGGGAAAATATGAGAACCCTCGTCATCTAAGTGGAACAAAGCGGTAAATACTTCATTGCATAGTAGCAGGAATTCTAAGAATGTGCGGATGACCACATCGGCCTGATCCCAATGGTTGTCGAATGTCAAGGATGGCTCTGCTTAAACGAAAAGGGCTCCCACCCGATCTTACATTTCATGGTGGATGTAATGGACCCGGTTTCTCGAGATGATGTAATTGAAAGCATAAATGTTTTGTAGCTGATACACTCTGCTGCACAATATTGATCCTGATAGCATTCATCAGTGTGAGGTTCGACGCTATGGGAAGCAGTTCAAAGGGTTCCTTGCACTCTACCCATGCACGCCTGTTCATGCTTCGAACTGGTCGAGGACGAGCTATTGATCGATCAGCCAATTGGTCCGGTTGTCAATCCGTGTTTGGGTTCGAACGATGGTTGATGTGAGTTTATGTTAGGTATTCGTGGTCGAGGATGATGCGCGTGTGATATTGGGAGGTCAAATAGGAGGATAACCTTCGAGTATGTGACAGTTACTATGGTCAGCACCAATGCAATTTTGCCTTCAACGAAATAGTGAAGAGGTTAGCGAACTTGTGAACTACCTGTCCAGTCTTAAAAATGTCACTAAATGTACAGTTATTATTTCTTTCCTTTATTAAAAAACTAGGAAGACGTATTTGGACCATCACAGCCCATTCTACCTATTTCTCTGTGATACTTATTGAGCGCCAACTTTTAGGGTTTGACTTCTGTAATGCTTTATTAAAATTGGATCTAGTCAAACAAAATGTGGAAACGTTATAGTTTCAACTACTTTGTATAGGTGTGATATTTCGGTATTAGTAATTTTAATTTGCTTTTCATATGTTTCCTTAATGATCAGGTCAACTTTGAATTAGGTGCAGTTTCCCCCCAGCTCAATACCTCCGACTAACTCGAAAAAATACAGAGTGGCGTAATCAGTGGATAAGATAATACTAGCGACTTTTGTTGTGGGATCAATTGTTGGTGGTCATGATGGAACGGCAGGTCCTCTTGGATTTTTTTCAGTTTTCCCCTTTTACTGCTCAGTACACAACGAATTGATTAAAAGTGGTTGATTATATCTCAACCCTACTGAGTGCCTGCCAAATTATTCGTTTCTACGAAAGTGATATAGTAATGTTTTCCCGGGAAGTCTACGACCACTTTTGATTCCTTTTCTTTAAATCCCTGGACCTCTTCTATCATACAAACCCAGTCTGGAGTAGAGAAGGCGCAGCGTCGAGCACCTAGCAACCGTCGTTCTTGTTCGCATTCTGTTTCTTCTCGGCCAAATTGGAGCCCAGACTGCAGTGCGCGTGGGCGTCCGGACAACTCTAAGATCAGTCGAACACGTAGAGCGTGGATCGGTACTCGGGAAGAGACTGGTCCGGATCAAAGTGAGACCTCCGCAGACATGCAGCGATGGGTATCTAGCTCCGGGATACGCACACCCACAGACACTAGCAGTTTACCTAAGGATGCACCCGGGCGTCGTCCGGTAAAATCGGCACGGCACGTAAGGGAAACTCGACCGTCCGGTGCCAGGGGCTCCCGTTCACGTCGTGGCAACCGACGACGCGGAGAGGATGCGGTTCCCTCGGATAGGCGTGAAAAGCAACGTCTGCAACCCTGCACCAATTCGGATCGATCGCAACACAGTTCGTGCGATTCTGTTTCCGTGAACCGTTCTCGGTCTTCCACTCATCCCCCATCATTCAAACACGACCCTGCTGTGGATTCGACGGGTTCGAATGCAAAACGTGGCACCAGAATGTCTCCCTCGGCTACCCGTCGCGCATTGACGAATAAGGTTAGTAATTCCAGATACATAAGGTTTTTTTCATCTCTTTCTCGATATACTCGTTGTTTATCACATGAGAAAACTATGTACACCCCGCGACAAAAGTTTTGCTCCCCCATTCCGCTAAATCTTAAGATTATCTTCGCTCCCACATGTACGGTCATCACCATGTTTTTTAGAACGAAAAGCAGAAATACGATATTTCACCAAATTATCCTCAATTTTAGCGAAAATATGTAGGAAAAATAGCATTTTCACCGTGACAGAAGTATTGAATCCCCAATGGACTTCACATATCCGGCTCGGTTTTCAATCGGATGCGATAGACATCTCGAGTTCCGCATGACAACTGACAACCGCGGTGACTCAATAGTTGACAAACTGATGTTAGCTACGGTCAGACTCACCTCACTCCTAATGACCTTGAAAGAACAAAGGCATCCAAGTAAGACACTACAGCTTATTGTCAACCAGGGCCTTGGAGACACTGAAGAATGTGGCAACTAACCGGCAGCAGTGGTGTTCTGGTTATCATTTCTCGTCAGGTCAGAATACTTAAAAAGGGGTACAGGCATAGTTAAGTTGTGCACTTTGTGTTGACAATAGAGGTTCACCTTCTTCCCCCTCCTTCATAATAGGTCAAATCCTTGTTCACCTTACGTACTCCCAATAACTTTGTATGCATTGCGAGTTTAACAGTGATCAGTGAAGTTCGCTGCACTATGATGATGAATCGCTCACGCTCCTGCGTTGGATCTACGCCTTGTGGGCCTTTTGAGTTGAGGAATCCGGTTAGGTTTCTCAAAGAAAATACCCTTCGTCGGTGTGCGCTACGGCGAAGTATGTCGTGCCCCAAAGTCTTAGGTGTCCATTTAGAAAGCCCTCTTTCTCATCTGTCCAGTTCTTCCTTTCACTCTCAAATAGTATGAGTTGGCCCTGTTCCCACCACCCATGAGGTATCAATCAGCGTTCACATAATAAGGTCCACCAACCTCAAGCTTAATTATTTTTGAAAATCGAAATCTCCTTTTGCACTTAGCCGCATTTAATATCCGTCAGATCGGTCAACAAGCTGCCCTAGCTAGAACTCATGAAACTTTCAATTTAGGTGTATGCTCTGTCTCCGAAACACGCATACAAGACCCTACTTCAATCATCACTTTGCGATCTGCAGATTCGACCTCGTACTCACGCTCCACTCTCCGTGTGTCAGGCGATTCGGCATCTGAAGCTCGCGGTGTTGCTGGTGTCGGGACTACCAAGGCCGAGCGTTCACTTCTTGACTGGATTACGGTTAGTAGCCGATTGTGCGCTCTGTCTGGATGGTTCAGTATGGGTCAACAGCTATAGGATAAGAGTCGACGCTTATTCGTCATATCCATGTGTGAACCGACTGTTTGCATTTGTCCAGAAACGAAGGATGAATTCTACAAGGATCCTTCTCAACTGCTTTAAAGCGCTTGATCAACGGAGATCTAATTAATGGCTTGAAACTTCAATGTTCATTTGAGAACCGTGGACCAATCAGAAAGGCTTCTTGGTGGTACACACGCGATCCCAACCAGCCGAACGGACAACCGAAATCTCCAACTTTCCGTGGACCACGGATTGTTTCTATCGAGCCTCAAATTATCGTACAAGAAACGACACCGTCTTAAATGAAAACCACCGACCTCTTCCCAGCGATGAACTAAAATCGATCACATCGCCATCAGCCACCCTTAAAATATCAGATAAGGAGAAGACTTGTAGCTCCGACAGCTTTGCAGTCAGAAAGACTTATATTGCAGACCGAACTC